GCAGAGTTCCTAGATTCTTCTCATAATCATCCTCCTTGGCACTTTGGCTTTCCAGTTTAGCAAGGAGACTCTCGCTTCCTTCCTTTATCTTCTGCTATCAGCACAAAAAAATGGGTTAGCAGTTAAAGCTCTGATTTTACCTGAGTCTGACCACAACAAAAGTAATTTGGTTTCAATGCATGGTGAAATAATGATAAAATGTATTTATATATTAAGTATCAAAACCATTTATAATATAGAAATCATTCATAGCTCCCAAAAATTCACAGGGTTATGAGGAAAATGAAATAATTGCAGCATGGACACTGAGATTTTATTGAACACAAATGACTTGTAAATTCACTCTGCTGCTCAGTATTTATAACTACCTGGGCTGATCAATAGGGGGCGCTCTATGAAAGTCAAAGGTGTGTGGTGTATGTGTAGCCACAACAGGAAGAAATGCAGGCTGTACCCCTGTGACATCAGTGATTTTAGTGTGATTCTGTCCCATTCCTCTCTCAGAGCGTGGACAAGCTTGTGACTGATCTCTGGTCTCTGAGCCCAAGATGTCACATGTTTGTATAACATCTGACATGAACAAAGAAATTAAAGAACAGTTATTGCTGAAGTACTTCAATGTGCTTTACTGCTCTCAACAATCTCTTTTAAGAACAGAAGAAACGTCCTGAATAACAAATGGCCATTCAGCCCACTGGTCTTTATTGAGAACTAAATCACAGCAGAAATTCCCATCCCAATGTTAAAGATGCCTGAATTGAGTGTGATCAGAAATCTTACTCATTAAAAGTAAGCACGCAGCATGAACAGTTTACTTCAACACGCAGACTCTCCTCACACACAGGAAAACACAAGGCACCATTGTCAGAAGAGAAAGAAAGAGTTCCAGAGCCTGGACACCACGTTATTGTGGGAATTCATTTTAATACTTTAGTGCCATGTCAACAGCTGATTGGAATTAACCCACTTTAAAACAGCTGCCCAGATAGAAACCACAAGAACAAGAAAAACACATATCACACTTACACATACAACATATTGAGGTGCCTAATGGTCTCTGGACAGGTGCTATTTTGGAACCGAGCAGGACCACAATTGATGCTTTGAAACTCCCCAAAAGGAGAAGTATAAAAAAGAAGCTGGAAGGATGGAAGGGGTCTTGGACAACAGAGTGAAACCCATCTCGAAAAACTTCACCTGATACTGAACACAGGTACAGTACCAGCAGTACAGTGGGCAGATACCTGATCTTACAACTTACCTCCACATGTGTCTCTTATGTGTGGGTTTCTCCATCTCCACATGCGACCTTCGCAGATCCAGACTGCTCTGACCTTTTATCAGTGCAATGCTCTAACCTCTAGTTTTCTCCAAACCCTGAGCACATGGGCAAACTACAATACGAAATTACTGTGCCAGGAAATTTTATTTGAGAAAGTTTTTCTCTGTAAACCAAAAGAACCACCTACAGTACATTAACAACCCAACACCAACTCTCACCATGAGTCCTTTTACATATTGGCAGATTAATGGGTTTCTAGGAAAACTGGCCCTGGTGTGACTGTGTGTCTGGGTTTATGTCTGTCTGCTCTGCGGTCTGTGATGGACTGGTGTCCTGTCCAGGGTGTACCCTGCCTTGCGCCTGTTGCTTGCTGGGATAGACACCAGCTCTGCCATGATCCTGTCTTGGATAACAACTTGTTAAGATGTTTACCTTTGTGTTCCACCAAACTGCTCAGATTAAGATAGATTCTCACATGACCCAGAGTCAGTGTGAATACTTTTTTAAAAGCATTTTTCAGCAGTTAAAGTGTTGGCTCATTGTTGTCCAATTTGTGTTTTTTGTGGTGTGCATGTCCGTTTCCTGAGTTGCACCACATTCATAGCAGAAATACTAAAGTCGCACACATCAAGCTCGACAGCTGAATCACTTCCTCTCCCTCCAGTATAATTCATAGGTGACGTGACACAAGTTGACATCAGTCCTGTCTTTCTCTGAGCTCTTGGCGCCTCTTTCAGAGGTGGCCGGTGACTGAAGTTCTGCTGGGTTTATAGAGCTGTCTGTGGCCCAGAGTGACTGGAATAGAGTTTGTGCTTCTGGTTCTGACTGGCTGTGAGTTCGTAACATAATAACCAGTGAACTTCCAGACAGAACAAAGGACTCACTAGGACACATGAAGGGAACTGAGTCTTTTTAGTCCATATTTTTTTACAGCCTCAGAAGTACTGTCCAGGTCATTCTGGGGGTACCTGAACTTTGATTCTGATTTTGAACTCGTGATATGATGTCCTGAGACATCCAAGCTTAGAGTTGCAGCATGTTTATTTATCAGTCTCAGCCAATAAAAGCTCTCTGAAATTGCAATGACTACAGTATATATGCAGGAACACACAGCTTCATTTTATTTCCGGTGTGTGATGTTGTGAAATCTGTGCAAGAGCCCTACTGTTGTTTTGTGTGAATCATGTTAGGTGGGTAGTTAATAAATGCATTGTAACATTTATCTTACCTTGTGCAATACAGAACTCATGTCCAAATTGCTTCTTTAGTCCTGCCTTTCTCTGTGCCTGAGGGAGCTCCATCCATCTGTGCTGGAAATTTCTCCATAGCAAGGGCTAATGTAGTCTTTCTAACAGAATAATAATAATAATAATAATAATAATAATAATAATAATAATAATAATAATAATAATAATAATAATTGCTTATACTTATATAGCGTTTTTCTGGACACTCCACTCAAAATGCTTTACAGGTAATGGGGACTCCCCTCCACCACCACCAATGTTGCAGAGTGATATGACTGCTGGCTAAAATTAAAACCCATAAGATTTGAAATAAGGAAAAGGTTAACTTCTTTATTACATTCTTGCTATTATGTGGTGTCCTCTGCTGTTTCATAATGGAGCTGCTAGCTGTGTTTACTCAGTCATGTTTCCACTCTGGATGCTCTGACAGCAATGTCATATACAGCACCTATTATATCATCAGCTCAAGGTAGTGTTTTCATTAAAAGCAGTGTTAAAGGCTGGAGAAAAAATGATGGCACACATCTCTGTTTCAGAGCACAGAAACAAGAAGAACTCTTCTCGTGGCTCATCAGACTTTCTCGCAGTCTCCCAGTCAACTTCCGATTCCATATGGCTTGCTTGTCTCTACCTCTCATCTATCAGCTCCACAGATAGCTTCAGTTTAAGGCTGCTTGGCTCTCCCACTGAGCCCCTGTATGTACATTTGCTTCCTCAGCTTCTACCTCCACATTCCTACTAGAAAGAGCAGTAGATCTGTACAGAGAAAGCTGTAGTAGCCACCTTTCGGGGTAATAACTTACAGCAGCTGAGGTCTCTCAGGCAAATACTAACTGTCAGCCTGTCACACACAGGCTCCTGTCTATAGTCTATGGTCATCAAACATTACTTCAAGCACTTCAAAACACTTCATCTATTTTTAACAGTCGAGCTTTGTTTTAAAATGCCAAGTTCATTGCAATGCTGACATCCCCGAGCAGCCATCTTCAGCATCTTCTCTCTGAGCCCTCTGAATACTTACTACTCTTTGAGATTCTATTCACCCAAATTCTAATCCACATTATCCCGTACAGGGCTGTGGGGGGAGCTGGAGCCTAACCCAGCCAGCAACAGGCACAGAGGGGTCATGCCCTGGACAGGATGTGTCTTCAAGAGTGATTGTGATTGTCATGTGTAATAAGGTAGACCATGACAAACGTTGTAGTCAGTGGGTGTTTAACCCAGATGTTATTCATTCTTACCCCTGTAATCCCCAAGTGAACGATCAACTATTTGTCAGATTGAGTCAAATATTTTATTACTGTTGTTGGTTTGCTGTGCGTATTTTAGTTTGTATATTCTGAAGCAGTGTGCTGTAACTTCTAGTTATAGTATTCCATCCAGTTGATTCCTAACAGCCATCAAAAATCTTGCAATTTACTAAATGTTTCAGTAAATTAAAACTCTCACATTACTACCTGCCAAAGAGCATCTCTGAAAAACAGTGAGTAAATATGTAAAATATCTAAAAAAAAGAATTCACACACGATGAGGTCCTACCCTCAGTCACTCAGTGACATCAGAAATCCATGCTCATCAGTGGGTTGTGGCTCCTCTGAGAGACTCTAGAAGGAAATGAGAGAGGCTGCAGCTATCGAGTGACCCTGAAGCCACAGAAGCAGAAAGGTGGTTTAGTTTGAACGCGAAACAGAGAAAGTCTGCTTACAGTTCATCACTTCAGAGCAGCAGTAGAGCTTGGAAACGGTAACAACTTTGTTTGTGTTGTATACAGCGGAAAGAGCTTATATTTTCAAAGTGGTTTAAGTAAGAAACCAGCTTAGGTCTGCAACTAAAGATAAAAATGACTACATCAAAATCAATTAGGGCTCAGAAGTGATCTAATCACTATTTTGTTTAATTTCCAATCTAGTATGCATAGTTTTGGACAGGTCGGGTGCAGTTTGCCTTGAAGATTAAGAAGACACAGAGGGCACCAGTATTCCTGCTTCCAGAGCCCAGGTAAGCTCTTCCTCGCGTGTGCTGTGACAGAGGAACTGTAGAGCGACTGCACAGTTCAACGGACAGACATAGTTCCAGTTTCCTCTTAACTTTCAAAACACATTTTAGATGAGAAAAGTTAAAATAATTAAGAATCCTGTTATTGTTTTCCTCTCAAGAAATACACATTTTAAAATGGTATATGGTGGAACTATAAGACTCTATGGTTTATTTGGGAGTATTTTACTTCTCTTTATAGACCTGCATTGATTCGAGTCAGGAATTTGATTAAGACTTCTTTTTTTCACCTTAGAAATAATGCCCGCATTGGGCAATTTCTCTCAATGTCTGACGCTGAGTGCCTGATTCATGTATTTATAATATCAAGGCTTGATTTCTGCAGCTCTTTACTCTGTGGGCTCCCCAACACTCCTCTCAGTTAATGTGACCTTATATTGTTTGTGTCTGTGCTGCTCCTTGACAATCATTAGCCCCCAGTTTACCTAGGTACACTAAGGGAAACTTTATAATTTTCCCACCAGACCTCAGCAAACATCCTGTCTGCTTTGAAGCTACAGTAGAAGTGTTTATTCCATGCAAATGTAGTCAGTGTGCTTGTTTCGTGTCCTATATATTTAATCTGGTTTAGTAATACCAGCCCTCCCTGCAGATTTGCATTCCTTATCATTATACCAACAGCAGCAGAGAAAACATTCCCGCTTCTCTTATTCATAGGAGCAACAATGGAAAACACACACTCCTTGGTTACACAAGAGCGTACATTCCTGCTGAGCAACAGTTGAAAGTTTCAGTTTCGTTTTGTCTCAGAAGACATGAGTTTCAACAGCATCCAAAGTTACAGCAAGTTCACATGTCATGACACTTCTTTTTCAAATTGGCTTGACTGTGGACTTTCCCCCATCAGCTGATGATCATGAGATAAAACTCAGAAGAAAAGGGAATTCACCACAGGCTAGAATACATGGGGAGAAGGGAAAAACGTTCTAGCCCACTAGCAATGACAGTTTTCTTGTGCTCCTAAAATCCAGCTTACTCAATATAATGTAGTATGTAGAGCGATTACACAGCTAGAAGCCTTCTGCATGGGCTTAACATTCAGTGCAGTGCTCGTGCTGTAGTGTACTACAGTATGTCCGTGCCTTGTGTTATTGCACACTAATCATTCAGGTTTGGAAAACAGCGGCTGTATCATGCCAATCTCACCAGCTGCTTGTTTAATTGGAGATCTTTAATTTATTTACTGATCCTTTAACTTCTGTCACTTACTGTACAACAGCAAGAAAAGTGGCGATGTTACTGACTTGTAAGCACAGGTTAACCAGTGACTATTTTCTTTTGTAAGACATACAGTACCAATGAGCATAGGATATGTCCCATCACTGTTCTCCAGACTGATACTAGAGCAGCAGTATTTTTAGTGGTGCACATTCTGGGGTCCAAATTTTGTACATTCTTTAAATGAGATCTTACTAGTGCATTGCACTATTTAACATAGTATTCCCTTCATTTAAACTGTATATATTCTAACATTTTGCTGTCTGTTTAGACTTCCTCCAGGACAGGAGTCTCCAGCCCTGGTCCTGGAGATTCCACTGTCTTGTAAATCTCCTGCGATTGGCTCTTTCAAAAGACCATTTGTTTAAGGGAATTCCAGCACTTTAAGGCTGAAAGATCTTCACATTTTGATTCAATTGACCTCGTAATTATGTCATAAATTCCAAGTTTTGTCATTTAGTCATAGTGGCATCTCTGTGGTAGACTAGGTCTGTTTCATACCGGTATACAATACAAACATGCTTTTGATTTTTTCACATGTATCAAGACTAATATAAAGTGGATTTGTAGTAAAAACCCCTCTGGATAAATTGATACTATTCTATCTGAATAGGCATATGCAAGAATAATTAAGAACTGTGTAGATCCAACAGGCTTCTGGCTTATCATGAATGACTGTTATTCCGGGTCTTGGGAGTAGAGTAAGGGTTGCTAAAGTAAAAATGGAAAAGCCGGACTCAAGTAAAGTAAAACTCACGTACTGGATAACAAATCCATTGGTTCATTTGGTTTGAGAGTTTGGGGGAAAATGACCAAATCCTGTCACAGCGGAAGGCTTGGGTGCAGAGATGGTAGATTACCTGGCAAAATCCAAAGGAAGTCAGAGACACAGGGTTTCTGGAGTTAGACCATGTAATACTATTCCCCGGGCTGCAGGATCACGACGGCAGCCATAGTGCGCCAGAACGCTCCCCACACACCAGCTTTAAGGTGGGAGGAGAGCAGAGTGTTGACGCCAGTTCAAAGAAGGGAACTATTAGGAGGCAATGATTAGTAAAGACCCAATGGGAAATTTGGTCTGGACACCAGGGTAATACCCCTACTCTTTTCGAGAAACACCCTGGGATTTTTAATGACCACAGAGAGTCAGGACCTCGTTTTTACGTCTCATCCGAAGGACGGCGTCTGTTTACGGTACAGTGTCCCCGTCACTATACTGGGGCATTAGGACCCACATGGACCGCAAGGTGAGCGCCCCCTGCTGGCCCCACTAACTCTTCCAGCAGCAACCTTAGTTTTTCCCAGGAGGTCTCCCATCCAGGTACTGACCAGGCTCACACCTGCTGAGCTGCAGAGGGCTGCCAGTTGAGAGTTGCAGGGTGATATGGCTGCGTATTGTTTAATTTATCTCTGATTATTTCAGCACTTTGCTATTGGACGTCTCCAGATGTTCCTCCTGAAGGCAGTCAGGTTCCTGGTGGTGTCCCCACAAAAATGTTCTGTGTTGGTGAATCTTGCTTCCAGACCTTTTTCCTGTCCTCTGTGTACATCATCTGCCAAGAAGATTACGCAATCTGACAATGGTGAGCAAATAATCATAACCCCCCAATTTGAAAAGATTTTCCCGAGAATGTACCCGAGTGGTTGGTATAATTAGAGGGACGTGAATTCTCTGGCACAGCTTTGATGAAAAAAGTAATAATTCAGGCACACTTGGTTAAACAGATATTTATTAACAATGGCCATGCACACACTAAACTACACACAACATAAATGTACAACACACAAGTTTCCATATGTGCAAGTTTACAGACAAGGTGTTTCAGAGACCTGCCTCTACTGTAGATCACTCCAAAATCCCCAGACTGCTATCAAGTATTTGACTGTTAAATAATGCCTACAGAGGCCAAAAGAAGACAGAAGCTTAACTTAACTAAGTAGAATACAACCTACAATTAAATATCAAGCTAACCCACTAAACAGGAGAGGCTGTTTTAAACCGAGGGATTCTTCACTCAGAAACTTTGAGTTCCCTAAAAGCCACAGAATAACAAGTTCACTTAGCAAGGTCTAAATACTTAGATCCAGTGGGTTATTTTTGGATGATCTTGAACAAGGACCTCTCACCTGGAACGCGCTTCAGGTTCTCTCCTCCTGTCTCCCTCTCTTTCCTATGGTAGTGTTTCCCCCTTGTTCTGTCCTCTGTCTTTTATCCTACACTTGGTGCTCTTAATCATGTACCCAGAGCTTAATTAACTACGGTAAAGCAGACGATTCTTTTGATCAGTCAGTCTCACACCCAGCACAACTAAGTAAACGCCCCTTTGTTTGAAGCTCTAGGAAGTGGAAATATTGATACTAGTTAGGTGTTCCCATTGCATCCTGATTCCTAGAGACCCCTTTATTGCCAATTACCTCAGCGTGTAACTTTAATACATTTTAAAGTTACATATTTGAATACATTTCTTCATTGGTAAATTGAAGCCAGTTTCTATACACCGTAAATATATTTGATTACAACTCATGTGCATGGAAGCAAACTTGTTAAAGTAGAGAACAAGAGCACTTCTTTACACAAAGAGTTGTGGGTGTCTGAAACAAGCTACCCAGCCATGCTGTTGAAGCAGACACCTTGGCTTCTCTCAAGAAACAGCTGGATGAAATCCTGAGATCAGTTATCCACTAACTCCTAGAAGAGCTAGATAGTCCCTCATTTGTAACCATGCTCTATAATTTATGCATTTAATATTTTATTAGTAGAAACCTGTCATCTAATTTTTAAGAATACTGTATATTTAACACGTCTGCACATCTTCTTTCTTCATGGGTGTAATTTCAGCTATGGTCCGCATTGCCAGAGCTAGTGGGAAGTATCAGAACTGTCTGGAGAATTTATCACAGCTGTCACCCACCAGAGTCACACACCTTCTGCAAGACAACATGACCAAAAGTAAGAAAAGAAGGATTTCTGAATACAGTATAATTTTAATCATTTTAAAGGGAAATGCTTCTGGAACATTCCAAGTTAAATTTGAAAAAAATATTTGAAGACCTTATCTCAAACTCTCTTTTTTACACAAAACTGTGAAAAGCTATTTATAAAGCTTCTTTTTTTTTTACAACGGCTATCACATTTCTTTTAATCTCATTTTGCGTTGCAGAACGTCCTACCTTCAACTATGACAAATTCTTTCAAAAGAAGGTTGAGGATAAGAAGAGTGAGCACACGTACAGGGTGTTCAGGACGGTGAACAGGAGAGCACAGGCCTTCCCCCTGGCTGATGAGCTCTCCGGCCTGCAGACCCCGGAGAGAGAGATTTCCGTCTGGTGCAGCAGTGACTGCTTGGGCATGAGCTGCCACCCCCAGGTTCTTCGCTCGATCTCGTACGTGCTTTAGTTCTCTACTCTATGTGTTTCCAGATGTCCAGAACGTATCATAATTCAAACCAAAGGGATGCAAGAAGTCCCAGCACAGTTCAGTGACTCTGTTACAGGAGCGCCTCTCTGGAGACTGGCCTCTCCCTCTCCGGTCTACATGCAATGCTCACAAGCAACGTCCATCCACCCAGTTTCAAACCACTTCCTCCGAAACACCCAGAGGAAAACCACAACAACACGGAGAGAACATACAAACTCCACACGGATAGCACTTCGGGACCAGAATTGAATCCAGGGTACCAGCACTGCAAATCAGCAATGCTAACAACGGTACCACCACGCAAGTAACTTATATGCTGTAAAATATCTCCATCAATTGCCGCAAATGTTAGAGAACACACATTTCAGGACTGTTCATTTAGAATGAGGGCGGCGTCAGCATGGCTGTCTCGCAGTACTGGAAAGCTGAGTGTGATTCCTGGAGTGCTGTCTGTGTGCAGTCTGTATGTTCTCCTCATGTTGTGGTTTCATCCCAGAGCTCAAAGACATACTGGTAGGATAATTGGCTCTGGTGTGAGCATGTGTGTCTGTGTCTGTGACGGACTGGTGTCCTGTCCAGGGTGAATCCTGTCTTATGCCTGTTGCTTGCTGGTACAGGCTCCGGCTCCCCTGAAACCCTGTACTGGATAAAGTGGTTTAGGAAGTGGATGGACCTTTAGAATTAATCTTTGATCCTTTGCAGAGATTTCCCTATGTGAGACAACAGTACGCCTTACTCAACTTAACTGTCACAGAAGGTCTTTGTGAATACAGTACAACAGGTGTTTGTCTCTTAGCTCATGCACAGCATTTTCGCACCACTCAAAAAATTCCTAACACAAAAAAGTGTTATTTCTGTCCTCAGAGATGCTCTATGGCAGCACGGAGCGGGATCGGGAGGCTCACGGAACATCTCCGGGACAAGCAGGTTCCACGTGGATCTGGAGCAGGAGCTGGCCGATCTCCACCGCAAAGATGCGGCTCTGCTTTTCTCCTCCTGTTTTGTGGCCAACGATTCCACACTTTTTACACTGGCCAAGATGCTGCCAGGTAGAACATTCAGCCTGAGCCGGCAGACCTTCCCATCCTTATTCGCCGCAGGACGGGAGCTTACACTCCGCTGAGTTGTTTGTGTTTTAAATCAAAAGGCTGTGAGATTTACTCAGACGCTGGGAATCACGCCTCCATGATCCAAGGGATCAGGAACAGCGGCGTGCCCAAGTTCATCTTTCGCCACAACGATGTTAATCACCTTCGAGACCTGCTGAGGAAGTCCCACCCCACCACTCCCAAGATCGTGGCCTTTGAAACCGTTCACTCCATGGATGGTAGGCGGCCATCTTCTTCTTTCAAGCCATTGCCTGCGCTCGTTCTCCCGCTGTGTAGTGACCAAGCTCCTTGTTCCGAACCCTAACCCACCTGGCTGTGAGGATGAGGAGGCTGGGACCCCCATGCAGAATGAGGATTGACCAAGGGGGAGTGTTACTGTATGTTGGCACAGTGTTAGTTTGTAGTTCCGACGCCATTGTGTTAATGTCGATGAAACAGTGTTATTACACTAGGGAGTCTTGGCAGCTCGTGTCCATTTTCTGGTAGTTCTGTGAAGTGTATAACAAAGGGCAGACAGGTGCCATAGGTGTCCACTGCAGTCCCTGCCTTTTCTGTGATACAACAGGGAGCTGCTCGGGTGCCAGTGGGGTGGAGGAGGAAGGCAGAAGAGGAAAGCAGTAGGAGAGAAGTGGCTTATGTGAAGCATTTACAGTTTTTCCAGATTTCCAGAAACAACGTCGGGAATGATTACAAGTGAGAGGTGAGGCGAATGGAACTTGGCTGGCTGTCAGCTCTCCTGAACGGTCAACGTGCCCTCCAGTTAGCCCCGAAGAAATTCAAGAGCGAAACTTTGACCAATGTCCAAGTCCGAGCTTTACCAATGCCATCTCTGTTCCCGTTTCTCTGTGATATTTGAGGTCTCAAGTGGGAGGGTGTCTTCCCATGCAGGTGCTGTGTGTCCGCTGGAGGAAATGTGCGATGTTGCCCATGAATTTGGAGCCATCACGTTCGCTGATGAGGTCCACGCGGTTGGGTTGTATGGACCTCGAGGTGGAGGAATAGGTGACCGAGAAGGAGTCATGCACAAGACAGACATCATCTCTGGGACACTTGGTAAGGATTCCTTGCTGTAACAAAAAGTCCAAGTGGCTTTAGATCCCTTACAGTATTATTACACAGGCAACAAGGATGGACTTCTTCATGAACTTATTCTAGGGCACAATAACCATGCTGTCAGTTAGTAGGGCTTAAAGGGGAACTGCAGTCCTATTTTCACAGACCGGTTATTAAATCTTGAAACTGTAGAGTCTCCATTTTTTTGCAAACCACTAGTTTTGCCACCAGGGCAAGAACAAGAGATTGCGTAAATTGCGATCTGAAGAAGCCTTTCCTGCTCACTAGTCACTGTAATGACTAAAGTAATGCAGTGTATAAGCGAATAAAAACAGGTTGTGCAAGAGACCGCAGAAGTGTTCCAACGTGATCTGCATGCAGAGTTAACAAGTAGGTAGTATTTGTCTTGAAGTCGAGAGTAGTATTTCTATTGGATTAAAAGAGAATTATTAACAAGCCTGCTTGTTTACAATGTCATAGAGCCGCTAAACCTCACTGGAAGTTTTGTTGCCTCCTTCTGAATCACAGACACTGAATCATGATGCTGCACATACCTGGAAATTACTTCTATTTTACGATGTAAATTGGAGGTTTTACACATTACTGTCTACATTTTACTTTCATTGTGGTCTGAAACGCACTCATCAATGCAGATTCTTTCAAACCCCGAAATATCGAAATAGCGTTACAGCTCCCCTTTTTAATTACTGGACCCACAGCAACTGTAGGCTAATAACCTAAAATTGCACCCCATCCTCCTCATCCGTGGTTTCACATACTCGAGGCGTCGGCCCAGTCCTGGCCTGAGAGGCATTCCTGAAGCTTCTAGAACATTCTCAGAGGTTCCAACTGTCTTAGAAGCTCAATTCAAGATTCACATACCCAGTGTTTCCTCCTTGCTCCCCACCGCATCTCTCCTGCTTCCTCGCGTCCCTCACCTTTTGCCGGCTGCTTGCTGTCATTTCCTTCCTTTTGTTCGCATTTTTTGGGGGCGTTCTTGAATTCTCCGACACTTACCATGAACACATCGCCAGGTATATTTCTGCACATTATTGTAGTTTCATCACAGAATTCCGAAACATGCAACATTCCTTTTCAACTGTAAAATTATTTTTGTAGTTGTGTATTCTTTGCTGCCGTTCAGGCATTTTTATGAGGTCAGTAATGTTAAAACTCTTGGATTTCTATGTCAAATTAGATGCAGTTTATCAAGGAAATTGATAAACATATATACTGTATATTTTGATTAAGAAAGAATGTTGGTAATTAGAGATGGGAAAATAACTAATGTGTCCACTAATTTAATTAATTTAGTCAGACTCCTGTGAAAAGCCTGATCATAACATTTCCTTTATAGCTGATTATTTGGTTTTGACAGATGAGCAATAGTCAGTGTTGTGACTCATGCCAAGCTATAACTAAAATATGTTTTTTAATGGCTATAATAATGGTTTTTCATTTTTATTTCATAAATGTGACTAATTTTCATTTGAAAAGGATATTTCTAGACATTTTCTTTTTTTTTAAGAGTTGTATTATTAAGCTCTAGTCATGATACTGTATGTCCTTGTGTGGAGTTTACCCATTTTTCCATAATTGAAATGATGGCAATTGGAATATTTATTTATATCAACAACCTATTGTCAGAACTACCACAAAAAAAGAAAAATGTGCAAATTATCCTTTTTTAAGTGTGGTTTAGATTTTCTCACTTTTAATAAGAGCCCCCGAATCTGAATTTACCACACTGAACTTTTGAGGTCTTGATGTTCCCCTTGTGACTGCAATAATATCCAAAAGAGAATAAACCATCAAAATGTTGCAAAACATTCTATTGTTGATGTTACTGGGCTGGAAAGAGAAAATTAATACAGCTCATTTGTAATGGCAGATATTTATCTTAATCTTTTTCTGAAGAAGGTGGGTTTATGCTTCAACATCATTTCAAGAAATAGGCCTTTATAATACTTGACTTAATCTTAATCTTAGTTCCACTTACAATGATCTCTTTTTAGGTAAAGCCTTTGGCTGTTTTGGAGGTTATATAGCCAGTACTGCCACCCTTGTGGACACAGTACGCTCCTACGCAGCTGGCTTCATCTTCACCATTTCCCTGCCACCGATGCTCTTAGCCGGTGCCAGGAAATCCGTTCAGATACTCAAGAGCGAGGAGGGACGTACTCTGAGGCAGAAGCACCAAGAAAATGTCCAACTGCTCACACAGATGCTCATGAAGGCTGGTCTGCCTGTGGGACACTGCCCGACTCACATCATTCCAGTCAGGGTAAGTCAGAGAAATCCTGCCCCGTCCATACAAACCTGCCTAACCGCTTCGTTCATGTTACTGGTTTCTGCACTGCCTTCTCTTTATAGAAATTACACACAGAGAATAGGACACTAAATTTATGCCAACTTAACAAAACTGTACAGTTCAAATGGCCCATAAAAGTTTCCAATGACTGACAATTTGTGGGAAATGAATAAGAGTTGTACCCATGTCTAAACTGTCTTCAACGCTACAGCATGCGCATGTCCAACTATCCTCATCACTACAGCGTGCTCATGTCCGACTGTCCTCATCACTACAGCGTGCTCGTGTCGGACTGTCCTCATCACTACAGCGTGCTCATGTCGGACTGTCCTCATCACTACAGTGTGCTCATGTGTGACTGTCCTCATCACTACAGCGTGCTCATGTCCGACTGTCCTCATCACTACAGCGTGCTCATGTGTGACTGTCCTTATCACTACAGCGTGCTCATGTCCGACTGTCCTCATCACTACAGCGTGCTGATGTCTGACTGTCCTCATCACTACAGTGTGCTCATGTGTGACTGTCCTCATCACTACAGCTTGCTCATGTCTGACTGTCTCCATCACTACAGCGTGCTCATGTCTAACTATCCTCATCACTACAGCGTGCTCGTGTCCGACTGTCCTCATCACTACAGTACCTGTCTCTCATGGACCAACCTGAATAGCAGAAAATACCATTTAACAGTTCCAGTTGTCAAACCGAGTTATAAGAAAATTATAAGTTTTTTTTTTTAGGAGAAAAAACAGAATAACCTGTAGTAAAGACACACATTTGCAGATACGAAAATTATAGAACGTTGAAAAAGCTCTTTACATATTAATGCCATGTATTCTTATCTTATTCAAATCAACTCTTTGTCTCAATTAAGGTGGCAGATGCAGCAAAGACCAATGAAGTGTGTGACATGATGATGAGGAGGCACGGTGCCTACGTGCAGGCCATTAATTACCCCACTGTCCCACTGGGGGGAGAGCTCCTCCGAATCATCCCCACCCCTCGTCACACCCCACAGATGATGAGCGACTTCACTGGTGAGACACAAAATGCAAAAGAGCTCAAATGCCGCATCTTCTCTCTATTACTTTTACCCCAGCAACGTTGACCGTTCTGTCATGTGAGGATCTTTTCTGCTATGACACTAATATCAGCTCCTGCGTATCAAATCACTTTTCGTTTGGGAATCTGACACATTAAATAGCTCTGCACATGTTGTTTGGGGGCACAGTGGTACAGTGGTCAGCATTGCTGTCTCGCAGTGCTGGTGGCCCCTGGGCTTAATTCCTGGGGTGCTGTCTGTGTGGAGTTTGGATGTTCTCCCTGTGTTTGCATGGATTTCCTCCTTGCTCTCCAGTTTCCCCCCACAGTCCAGAGCCATTGGCTGGTTAATTGGCTTTTTGGAAACTTGGCCCTGGTGTGATTGTGTTTGTGTGTGTGTGCCCTGCGATGGACTGACGTCTTGAGCCCGTTGCATGCTGGGATAGGTTCTGATTCCTCCGTGACCCTGTACTGAATAGAGCAGTTTAGAAAATGCATTGCTGTTGTTTGGTTTGAATCAATGTTTATAGAAGATGTTGTACTATGAAGAAAATTGTTTTTCATTCTGCCCACAGAACAACTGGTGGAGATCTGGAAAGAGATTGGTCTGGACCTCCACTCTACATCTCTGTAACATTCATATGCAACTTCATGGATTAAAAAGACAGAGAAAAACTGACTTTATCCAAGCAATTGGATACTTCCCAGTCCTGGACATTCTCATATTTCCCATTGTCTGTCTCCTCTCTTCACTTCTGATCGTGTTAATAATAATAAGTAAAACTTTGAATCATTCTAAAATTCAGAAGACAGAAGTATAACATTATTAGATTTTTGACATTATCTGTAAATCATGCTGCTATATACTTTTTTGTTTCAGTGGGGGTATGATTTAGTCATGAGACTCTGAGGGCACTGTAAGTACTTTAGCTCAACATGGCACTCTTGGTACTGTAGTTATAGTTCTTAAACAATGAATAAAATGTATTTAGTTTTAAAAGTTACATTTTAGAGAAAATTCAGTTGTTTTAGCTGGTTGATATATAAAGTCAGAAAACTCACAATATATGAAGCTTAAAGATATAAAGTTTACATTAGCTCACAATCTAATTGCACATCTCAAGGCCGCTCTCAGAACGTGTGCAACAGTGAATATCACCTGAAGGGCTTGTCCAGATGCAGCTGAGCTAAGGTACACACTAATGAACAAAGGGGACTTCTTGTGGTTTACTCTGATTAACTAAATAAAGGATAAACACTCAACAAGGATAAAATACAGCACAAACACAGAGAGAGGACAGGCCAGTAGGGAGAAACAGAGACAGAGATGCACTTCCTACTGCACTGTGACAAATACTCTGGGATTAGTCAAACAACAACTCCAATCCCAGAATTCCCACTCCTGCCAGATCAGAACTGTTTCTAATCCTACTGGGGGTGGAAACTCAACACAGCTGCAGCCCAGTATGAGATCTTCTGTCACAGCCTGAGAGACAGAGACTGAACTTCTCTCTCAATATTATTTTATACTGTATGTTTCTTTTGTGATACTTTTGGGCATCCATGTCATAGGAAGGGAGATTTAGTTCTGTTCAGGATCTGTTTATGATGCAGTTTTTTTTTTCTCTTAAGGAACACAGTGTTTTCAGATTACAGAGTCGGAATTGTGGGTTTCTAGGTCTATAGGAAATAGGCCTCTGAAATGCGTTTTTACTTATAGTGTTACTGTGTCGCATTATGTAATTGTCTTAAATATGTATTAACAAAAATTGTCTATCATGTTTGACTACTCTGTCACCAGAACTGTGCTAGAGAATAAAGGGAACTCGTGTCATTTCTCACAGGGCTCACGTTTTTACCTAACACTTGGTTCATTTTACTTAATCACTCTCCCAGTTTGTAACAATATTATAAATAAGCCCCGGTTGGGATGTATCCCGCTTTGCGGCCGTTGCTTGCCGGGATATGCTCCAGTTCCCCCGCGACTCCGTATTGGATTGAGCTTTTTGCAACATATCACAAACTGAGTAATGTTCTATGTAGATACATTAACGTTTCGGGATGGAATAGTTGTGACCTGTACATCTGCGAGTATTTGTCTCACTGAGAGGGAAAAAGTTGTACCGGTTCCCCCATTGTGGAAAAACTATTCACGACCAAACACAGCCGTCAGAACTTGGCACGTTTTCTGTGAAAACGTCCTTAAGTTTTACGAAAAGACTAGATAATAACTACCCTGGTCCGACAGCAAGCGTATGCTAAATATATTCGTTACAGGCTGGTGATAATGGGAACGCAACTGGGATGGATAGGAAAACGGCACAGTAACGCCTCATTTATTCTGTTCTTAAACAGAATACAAAACGGACACTTAACAGTTCGTCCAGAACTCTCAGTCCGGAGTCCATGTATTTCTCTCGGTCAGTGGAAGTTCTTTCCGATACTGCAGATTCGCGGTGTGTCCGCTGTACCTCTCCTGGCTCTCTCACACACAGGCTGGCCAGAGGCGCTCACCTCCACAATGAGCTCGCGTTTCACCAGGAACACGACGACTGACACCTGGCTCCTGTCAGGCAGGAACTCACGCTGACTGTACTAAAAAAGTCAACTGTTGATTCTGAATTTTAAACACCATCCACGAATCTGAGTTCGGGAGAGACTAATACTAATGAAGGCCAAATATTCACCATAATTTTACCAAAAAAACCCACACAATTATGGTAACCGAGGTGATGATGTTAAACGAAATTATCTCTAACGTACTTATATTTAAATACGAGGCACATTATGTAGAACAATTTTAGAAATGCAGTAATTATATTTTATGATAGGCAACCGCAGCCTGTACTTCTTGAATGAATGACCATCTTAGTTGTGCCTTCACAGCAGACACGGGTCTAAATAAATTACAGTAAAATTATAATATATACTTTGGTAATATATTTTATTTATAAATATATAAATATGATTATTTTCAGTGTCAAAACATAAGATTCGTGGGCATTTATTTAAATCTATATTAAAATAACAGAAGAGGTTCCTGTGATTTTTAAATTCGTGATTTTATTGCTCAACAATAAATTAAGTTTGTTCTTTCAAACTTCATTTGTAAAAAGACAGCTTGGATAAAGCAGGCAAACCCCTCCGTGTTGCTGTTAGAGAGGGGCAGTAACACACACACGGTCTGGCTCTCCCCTCTTCTTCGGCGCCTGCTCCGCTGCTGAAATCTGGGGTGAAAATTACAGTCCTGCGCCGATTCACGGGCGTCTACCGGGCTCTTCAAAGGAAGCGTCACAAACCGAGATAAAGGAGGAGGTTCTCCAATATATTTAAAGCAAATAGTGACCCACAAAACCGTAAAAGTTTTTTTTTTCCTCCGACATTCTCGGGAAACACAGTTTTGTGGTGATGACTGATTATCTTAATTTTTCATCATCAGAGGGTGTTTTCGGCCTCTGGTGTAGAAGTGTCGGGTGAGTACATACCCATGGAAAAATGTATTGTTAAAATATACAGTAATACAACAGTATAATAGACTTATTACTGCCATATACTGTATATGTTTTAAATATGTATCGTTGCATAGCAACCAAATCAGTACACATCCTGGCCATATGGATATATCCAAAACATTGCGTTAAAAAGTCAGGACGGACCATTAAAAATACCGGGCTAGATTAGATTAATACAATTTACACAAGAGAAGAGAGCTTCAATTTTTCACCTTAATCTCAACCGCCCTCTTTTTAACAGGTGGTATCACAGATTTTGTTACAACACTTGTTTAATGATCAATATTTGCGAGTTTTTAAGACCAGAGCTGAGTTTTCTGGGGATCTACTGTACGCTAATTCGCCAGCAGCTACATCAACCTGCAACTCCCAATTGGCAGCCCACTGCAGCTCAGCAGTGTGAGCCTGGTCAGTACCTGGATGGGAGACTCCTGGGAAAACTAAGGGTGCTGCTGGAAGAGGTGTTAGTGGAACCAGTAAGGTGCGCTCACCCTGCGGTCCATGTGAGTCCTAATGCCCCAGTAAAGTGACGGGGACACTAAACTGTTAAAAGGCGCCGTCCTTCGGATGACACGTTAAACCGAGATCCTGACTCTCTGTGGTCATTAAAAATCCCAGGGAGTTCTTCGAAAAGACTATGGGTGTCACCCCGGTGTCCTGGCTGAATTTCCCCCTGGCCTTTACCAATCAAGGCCTCCTTCATTACTCTTTAAATTGCAGAAATAAATTACAGAAATTGTTGGGTAAAAACAATAGGAGAACAAGAGAAGTAGCTCAAGTCTCCTCACGGGCACACCCATAGCTCCGCACTCCCCAGCACCAGGTGCACAGCGAAGCGCGAGTCAGAGCCGGCGCGCCTCGCGATCACGAGCCGGTTGTTCATGCAGAAGGAAGTGCAAGACCCTGCGGGCTGCAGCGAGTACGAGACGCAAAGGGTGGTTTGAACTCAGAACGGGGAAATTGGCTAATAGTTCTCCACTTCAGAGCGCCAGAAGACCTTGGAAACGGTAACAAATTCGTGCCGTATGGAAATAGTTTACATTTTCAAGTAGGTTTAAATCAGAAACCATCTTAGGTCTGAAACTAAATATAAGAATTACAACACAACAATACATTTATGTTTCGTTTCGAAACCGATTGCGCATAGTTTTGGACACCTGGGGGGCTGTTTGCCTTGAAGATTAAGACCCAGAGGATAGAAGCATTCCTGCCTCCAGAGTCCAGGTAAACTCTTCCTCATGTTCTTCCTTTGAGCTGCGATAGACCCTCAGAGTTACCGAACAGTTACGGACACCGATATCCACGGAGGTTCTGAATTGGAACCCCCATAAAACACGTTTTGTTTAGTGCAGTAAAAAAGATAAAATAATTCTTTATAACCTAATCATCGTCTTCCGGAGAAATATAAAGTAGAAAACGCCTGTGGAAGAATTCTGGATTGAAAACGGTGCATTTGTTTAAAAATAAAAGCAAATCTAGTATAAATGTACTTGTTTTACAATGTCTTGTACTACACAAAATAATATTTAATTTGGTTTCATATCTCCAGGCCTCCCGGCAAAACATTTTATTAACACGAACTGTAGAGAAAACGCCCCCCCGATATTATTCATGAGAGCAACACTGGAAACCCCTGACTCTGTCGTTGCACAAGCGCTGACGAAAGAAAAAAACCAACACGTTTCAGCCAGTGTCCGTCGTGGTTAAGACGAGGTAATTTCAGGAGCTGAATCCAAGCATGAACTCTGTCAAGTCGCCCAGCCGGCTGAATCCGTCTCTCCTCTAAACGTTTGCTAACGGTTTTGTCCCAGTTCCAGCCGAAGAGCGGATCCACTGTTAATTAGTTGGTAATTAGTAATTCTTCCCAGCTCTGGTTGAAGAACAGTTCCATTGCTAACTACTGTTTGTCCCCAGTGCACCGGAAGTGGACAAATCTTTTTTTTTTTTACCATAGGACAAGAGTAGTATACTGTAAATAGCCTACTATAAAAAGGGTGTCCTTTTTTATCTCTTCTGTGTAAAACGGGACTGCAGTGCATAACCCCCCTGTGAGGTGATTGGCGCAAATGCAAGATTATTTTCTTTTCTTTTCTGGGGGGAAAAAAATCCTGGAAAAAGAAAAAGGAGTTTTTTTTTTATTCTCTAGAACAATAAAGGCATCTTATTTCTCTGCTGAGAAAGTGGAAGCTGATTTTTTGTTACTTTCGCTTCCCTTATTCACTGGTGTAGAGAGAGTGGAGCAGGTGCTACAACAGGTCACCCGGATGTCCCTGACCCAGCACGAGGCTATCGGAGTCCAACAGGAAGCCACAGGGGTCCAAGAGGGAGCGATCTGGCTACATCTGGAAGATCAGCACCTCAGCCAGCAGCCAATGTGGACTGAACTGCAAAGGCTGAGCGTAGTGCTGCCAAACTTCTTAAAATAATAGCTGAAATCCATTTACGTGAACTGACTACACTTTAATGTTCGCTTCATTCCTAAATGGAGGGCTGAACACCTGCTCTAAACCTGTGAATTGTGAAGGTATTTTCAGTGATTGCTTGTTGTCTTTGACAGTGACATGGGCCGATTCCTGAAGAGGCTGTGTCTTTTCTTCCTCAGTTTCCTACCAGTCATTCTGACACAAACAGGTGAGAGAACTGCTGGTGATTATTGGTGGCATAGTGGTGCAGTAGTGAGGATTGCTGGGGTGCTGGGGCCCTGGGTCCATTCCAGTCCTTGGGTGCTATCTGTGTGGAGTGTGTATGTTCTCACATTCACATGGGTTTGCTCTAGTTTCCTCCTGCAGTCCAAAAACACACTGGTGGGCTAATTGGCTTCTGGGAAGACAGGCCCTGGTGTGAGTGTGTGTGCTCTGCAATGGACTGGCCTTCTGTCCAGGGAGAATCTTGCCTTGTGCTCGTTGCTTGCTGGTGTAGGGATGTGAGGGTTTTAATTCACCGTGACAATTAGAACTTGGAACAGTAAATTGCGAGAGTTTTTGACAACTGTGAGAAATCAAATCTAATCATTGACGCTCTCACACACAGTATACAATTTATTGACACAACCTGAAAACCATGGTCTTTGAACTGAGAACCGCTGAGACGGTGGAGCTGCCTGGGCTGGTCCCTGGTCCGACCTGGCAGCTGCTTGCTCTGTGCTGGGAGTGTCCCAGGCAGAGAGAAGAGAGATCACAGACTAGTGTTGCTGAGGACCACTGTGCTAGAAGTCACTGTCACTGTATTTTGGTTTTTAAAAGCAGTTAGGCTCATTCCAGCTATAACGTTTGCTAAATATACTTGGATATTCAGGATTTTGACAAAAAAAGAGTCCAGCTGTCTTATTTCTCTGATCAGGCAAAAATAACAGTGGGTTTGCAAACACAAGGTTTCTTGTGCATAAAAAAATCTCTTGGTTAGGATTCGGGTTTTTACTGACTCTCTGTCTCAGCCTGGCGTCTTGGAGAGCAGTTTAAGTCCTGACTTGGACTTCTTGCAGTCACGTGGTTGGAAAAGGCAGATCGCAAGTTCAGATGGAGAGAGACAAGGAGCAGTGAGTTGAGGTGGGTGTTAGCTTTTAGGTGCGATGGGTCAGGATGCTATCATGTATAGTCCTGGTACCCACCCTGCTGGTCCCTCGTTGGTGGATCTTCCTCTGGTTGATGTACAGTGACCTTTGGCCCATTTTCTTGGGGAGAGACGGACTACAGACTCAATGGAGCCCATCTGTGCTTTGTATCACTAGATGGTTTAGTATTGGACACAGAGTTTCAAGGTCTCTTATAGGAGGGTCCTGTTAGCCTCATTCCTTTAAATTTACACAGAGTTCCTAGCTACCACGTCAAGAACAGAACGATTTTTAGAAATCTTAATACTTAATTCTAAGTGAATAATGTGACTTGCTGCTACAGTTGAATAGGCTCCAGCTCCCCTGCGACTCTGAATTGGATGAAGCAGATAGAAAATGGATGTGTGTATTGATATGATTGTTTATTGTGATCCCTGATGCCCATAAGCAAATGTCCATTTACAAACCTGAACTCCAGCTTTGCACAGAACATTGTACTGAATCCTTTCTGGGCATTTTCAGAATTTAAGAAATATTTGATGGAAAATAAAACCCTTGCTATGTCAGAGTGTACTGTTGCATGTGCACAGTGCCTTTTTCAATCCCTTCTAATGATCTCGTATTCTAATTGCAAATGAAGTGCTCACTTTTGTATAGTGAATATTTGTAATTACATTCTCGAATGCTTAATATTTTTATGAGTTGCAGAAATCAAATGTCAGCGAAAACTAAAAAATACAGTTTTTCAGATGCATAAGATACAAGTATATAAAGGTAAATGAGTGGCATCTTACAGAGAAAGCTGTAATACTGATAGAAATACAGGAAAATAAAAATATAACAGGAAAATTACATGAGACCAAATGGCCAGATGTTAAAATATATCGGAGATAAACATGACTTCTAATAATTTTAATTTAGTCTCGTTGTATAATAAATATATTATTTGTCCTTGCTCTTTCTGTGCAGAGACATTGCTACTGTATAAGATGAGAACAGTCTGTATGTCAGAGGGGACCATTTAGCCTTTCTTGCACATTGGTCGTTTAGCAGTTAAATCAGAGTTAAAATTTCATTCAACTGTTTCTTAAAAGTGTCCAGAGTTTAGGCTTCAAGCACCTAGCTGGGAGGCCTGTACCAGACACCCACCCCTCTTTGAGCAAAGAAGTGTTTCCTATTCTCTGCTCTGTTTCTTTCAGTCAAGAGAGTTGTCATCGGCTCTAAACAGCCCCTCCTTGCCTTTCCTGGTGGTGACGTCACCCTGCCCTGTCACATCTACCCCAGAGCCAGTGCTGTGGACATGGAGGTGAGGTGGTACCGACAGGTCATCCAGACTCCTGTCCACCTGTACGAGGATGGAAGAGACCGTACTGACGTTCAGGATAGGGATTACAGGAGTCGGACATATCTTGATAGAGCTGGGCTGCACGATGGGGATCTGTCTCTTAAACTGAACAACCTCCAGGTCTCTGACAATGGGCTCTATAACTGCCTAGCAACTGATGGACTGTGGTATGGAAGAGGACAGGCTGAACTGGTTGTAAGAGGTCAGTATTGCCTTGATGACAATTAAAATCCAACCCGCTGGCACCCAGATGTGTGTCAATAAGTGGCAGATTAAAAAAACAGTGTGTGTCCTGCAGCTCTGGGCTCCCAGCCCACAGTGACTCTGAACGGGTCTGAAGCGGAGCAGACCCACCTCCTGTGCCGATCCGAGGGCTGGTACCCTCCGCCCGCGCTGACCTGGGCAGACGGCCACGGAAACGATGTGACGGCGCTGTCCAGCACCGCAGTGGAACGGGACAGCCGGGGGCTCCTCCGGGTCAGCAGCCACATCCCAGTCAGACCGCAGTCCGGCGTCTTCGCCTGTCTGCTGAGAAGCACAGCCCCTGAGTCTGACGGGGAGACCCAGGTCCGTGTATCCAGTGAGTACTGAACAAGCTGAAATTCTGGGCAGTGACATGTACTTTACAATCCGATCATAGGTTTTTAGTTTGTTTATTACATAAGAACAACAAATGTACATTTAAACACCAGAATCCATGTTATATTTGAACAACGTGTTATATTTGAAAAGCAGCCCTCCGTTATTAATTTACATTTTTGTTTGTAGCACTACGATCTAAAGTTGGACCCCTGAATCCTCGAGATGTATATGGAAGTAGAGGAAGGAATGTGATAGTCGTCCAAAATATCTTGAAACAAAAGGATCATGCGTGTTTGGTAGCTTACTAGATTAGCATGGGCGGGAAGCCTACTTTAGACTTTCACAACTCTTTATATAATGTTTTTCTGTTCTCTTTCCTCAATTTCATTTCAGTTTCCATTTGTGGTCCTGTGTTGTTGTTATACCACCTGGTGAACTAGCCCCCTCCGCAGACCCTAGATACAACCCTTATATTATAGGATTTTATATACTTAAATCACAGATTAATTTGTGAAATTAAGAATATAAGCAAAAGAAGAAGTGGTTTTGGTGGGAGACTTCAATTTTCCACACACAGACTGCGAAATATCAGTAGCAGAAAATGAAACGGTAGATGGTTAATGACAGCTTTCTTTAATTAATAGTTCATTGGCAGTATATGCTTTGCTCATCATACATGTGGTGGTAACGTAATTTACACTAAGGATAAGCCCACCTGAGGAAAACCGTTAACATTGCAAGATAATAAGCCAAAGAATTGCATGTTATCAGTAGGTACTCGCGACATCCCTCGCACAATACATTCTAAATGCTTTGATTGAACTTATCATTCTAAATATGAAGTTTATAATTTTTGTCTTAAGTACAAGTGAAATGCACATTGATGCCAAAGTCCAGTGTGTTTGCATTAGTTGGGCCAAGAGGAAGAAGGGAGACAGTCCTGTACTTAGGAGACATACAGTATGGACAGCAGGCAAAATCCCAATGCCAATCCGACTTAAGGCATCACAAAGCTGATTCCTCTAAATGCATCCTTCAGCACTCTTACTGAAAAGCCCAACTGTACCAATGCCAATCCGACTTAAGGCATCACAAAGCTGATTCCTCTAAATGCATCCTTCAGCACTCTTACTGAAAAGCCCAACTGTACCACTGCGAGTCAGGAACTGTCAAAACCCTAAAAAACCCTGGAGTGCTTTGCCTGTTTAGCCCTCTAAAATTATGGTAGAACCAATGTTCAATGTTTAAAACGTGCAATGTGAACTTATTTGTAAGTTATCCTGTCTCTCCTTGATTTGTAATGAGCCGGATCACAGATCAGGAAATCCAGTGACGGGAGGTTTCTTTCTCTGTGATTTTCCAGAAGATTTTTTCCCTGCAGTCTCAGGATGGGCGGTGACTCTGTTCATAATGCTGGGTCTTGCTGTGGCAGCACTCCCCCTTCTGGTGATCCAGTGGAGAAGGATGAACAGTATGTGAACCATTTATGTCCATGTATATGGCCATACCACCCAGTCCTGCAGGTCCAATCTCGTCTAGTATTAACAGAGTACATCATGGTTTAGAATTGTGCTACTCTGTGGTCAGAACAGTTCAGAGTACATACAGTACTAAGCGCCCTGCATACTAATAATATATGAAAGTGGCTTTGCCTTAGAACTGGAAAATCAAGAGATTTCACTTGTCGGTATGACTTGGGTCTCCTGCCCTCTCACTGTAGCAGTTGAATACTGTGATGTTCAGGGTTCAAGGAAACTCTTTGCCTCCATTAGTGAAGCAGCAGTCCTCAGCCGTGCAGCTGCTACGATTTGGTTTCCATCAGGCAAATCCACAGGGTGACTTTTGACATAGACTGTTGTCACTATTCTTCACCATTATACTTCATAATTATAAGTCACCCTGATATATCTGAACTAATGTCATTAAGATGTTGGGGACACAACTTGAGCAAGTTTGGAAAAAGTGTTGTACTTGGCGTTTCGTGCACATGGAGGTGAGCATCAGCGCTGAGGCCTTTTTATGATATTTTATCTTTGCATCTGTTCAATAACTGCATTAACAATCGAGCACAACTCATCCTCTCCTCAGGGGAAGATCAAATCAGCAAGTGTCTGATTAAGATGAGAATGTTGAAAATGTTGATTAAAATGACAGTATCTTTAAAGATTGGTAAGTTGAGATAAAAGTAGGTGTAAGGATAGAGTACAAATAGGCAGGCCCAGGAAAACAGACACACGAACACAGAAGTGAGGTACAAAACCCTGTGAAACCCGTACTCTTTATTTACAGTGCAGGGAAACACAAACAAAACAAAAGCCCTAAGCTCCTTTTAAAACTCCTGACTGACCTCTACAGTTTCCTAACCAGCCCACCGGGCATCTAAGTGCTTACCAGCCTCAAAACAAAACACGTTTTAAACTGCAGTCTCTCCCTCAGACTCTTCACAAAAACCCCCCAGTCTCTCCCTGAGGCTCCCTCGTCCCCCAGACAGCAAATCGAAGCTGAGGGCTTGTGAGGCCTCTGGGGTCTGGGTGAGAGAGGCTTATGGAGGCTAGGAGCTCCAGACAGGCCTGTGAGTGAAACTACTCATTGTGCGCTGAGGGAGATACTTTAAGTATCTACTCTGGGCAGAAGCTAAAGTGTGATTGAGAAATAAAACTGGGGGCTATTGAGGAGTTTATTCTAAATTCCCTCCTGAGTCCCATCTCAAGTCACGTGAAACCATATGAATTTCTTTTACATGATTTTCTAATCATTGGCACGTTACTATGCTGAATAATATAAGTATTAAACCACACACCACTGTGATACCACTATTAATAATTGCTCACGCTTGTATACAGTAGCACTTTTCTGGGCACTCCACTTGAAGCACTTTACAGGTAGCAGGGCCTCCCCTCCATATCTGCAGGGCATACAGAATTCACTTGTAAAAGTGTAAGTGAAAATGGATGGATGGAATGGGACAGGAGATGTGGTTCGTTTTTTGAGAACAAAAATGTAAATAGAAAACTAAAATGTGTACTGATGCTTGGCTATTTTTTTCTTTCAGAGCTGGAGAAAATTTGTGAAAGAAATGGTAAGTCCGTCAATAATAAAATTCTGAGGTTGTCTCTGAATTTTGAATGTCAAATGTCAGACATATTCATGGAAATTATTCCAGGCTTCTGTTCAAACCTTAAAAACGTTTTTGAGCTCATTTAGAAAGGCTGTGTAAAACAAACGCAGTGAAATTACAGGTCCATGTGTCACAGGTGTTACTCAAAATACTGAAGATGACTAAAGATATAGATGTAGATTCACTTTTTGAGAAATGGAGAAAAAGGCTGCCTGCAGTTGAAAGATGTTGTAGTTGGAGAATGGGGAATGCTGAAATAACATGTTTATTCATGTTGAAAGTTGACTTCTTTCTAGGGTCATATAATGTATTTTGCAACATATGTAGTCTTAACATAAAATTTAACATGATGGCCTAGTGGTACAGTGGTCAGTATTGCTGACCTGCATTCAATTCTAGGCCTGGGGTGCTGTCTGTGTGGAGTTTGCATGTTCATTATGCTATCTGTCGATCACGTTTTTTATTTCAGTTAATCACCATAATTGTGCTGGAAAATAAAAATAACTCATTTTCCTTTTCATTTTACTGAACCACTCTTTCAGCTTTGACACTATTTTCAAAATTAACCAAATTTATAATCATTAGAAATACAAGTAAAGAAGACCTTGAATTTTTTTAAAAACACAATACCCACCTACTGTACATTATAACAAAGTCTTGTAAGACATTTGTATCCTATTCTTCCTGTTGGTCTGTAAGACTGGGAACTAAACTTAATGTTTTATTTTCAAAAACTGTGTGTTAATGTTGTGTGTTATAATATCACACTGGGGCAGCCTATTGGCGCAGTGGTTAGTATTGCTGTGTGGAGTTTGCGTGTTCTTCCTGTGTTCACGTGGGTTTCCTCTGCGTGGGTTTCCTCCCACAGCCAAAGACTGGTGGGTTAATTGGCTTCTGGGAAAATTGGCCCTGGTGTGAGTGTCTGTGTGCTCTGTGATGGACTGAAGTCCTGTCCAGGGTGTACCCTGCCTTGTGCCCTTTGCTAGCAGGATAGGGTGTGGCTTGCCCATGACCCTGTATTAGATCAAACTCTTTTTATGCATTACTGATGACGTTTTCCTGTTGATACAGTTCTGATCTTTCATGATCTGTCCTGTAGTGACCAGCAGTCATACGATATATGAAATGTAAGCAGGGTGATAAATACAGCATTCAGCTGGGACTTGTTGGAGAAATTGTTCCGCTTCCCCTTAAAAGAGTCATTTTGTATTTTTATCTATCATGCTTCCCTGTGCTTATCCGATTGGCAGCATTCCAGCATCACACATAGCTTCCTCTTCCCTATTTGCCAAAGATAATGTCTTTTAACACCATTGGTTACTTAGTTTCGTAGCCATAGCATTCCTACTGTATATAACAGAGTATAGAATTTCATAGAAGTCCTTGTGTCCAGCATTCTTCCGTTCCAGTGCAAACCATCTGTAAAATACTGCAGTGTCAGCAGAAAAACTGTGTACAAAGTTCACAAAGACCCTCAGAACATGTCTGTGGCTTCACACAACTGAGTGTTTTGTCATCACGTGAATGCATGTCTGGTACCCAGCTGTGTTCATTGAGCACCTTTCACCAGCCGTGTTCAGCATACAGTATGCTAAAGCAATTATTTTTAAAAACAAGGGAGTAACACCACAGCCTCCATTTTCCTTTTTAGATTTTGAATGTCTTTATTTATGGTTGCATTAAAAACTGTCTTAACACATTTGGTTATTGCAGCCATGCATGCAGCCATTTTTATACTTCAGAAAGAACAGGGTAAGTGTTTTTTTAATGATTTTATTAATAATAATAAACTTTATTGTATATAGCACCTTTAAAGGTGGCTTCTCAAAGTGCTTTACAGAATGACAACAAAAACAATAAATAAAAAGAATACACAAGATAAAACACAATTACAATACACAGAGGAGACTGGGGATGGTGGTACTACAATAAGTAAAGTAGAAGCAGAGGGGTAAAGAATGGAACCAGTTAAGTAAAGGCTCTTCTAAAGAAGAAGTCTGGATTTGAAGGAGTTTTAGAGAAGGTATCCTCTGATATCCTTGGGCAGAAAGTTCCAGAGCTTGGGGGCATAACAGGAGAAGGCCCTGTCACCCATACAATGTAGACAGGCTTGGGGGACAGTTAGGAGACCAGAATTAGAAGAGCGAAGGTTGCGAGGTGGGGAGTAGGGCGATAATAGTTCAGACAGGTACAGTACTGAGGTGCCCAGCCATGCAGAGCCTTATAGGTGAACATGAGGATTTTAAAGTCCGCACGGAATTTGACAGGAAGCCAGTGCAAGGACTCCAGGATAGGAGTAATGTGAGCACTTGCACTAGACCTGGTCAGGATTCTGGCTGCCGAATTTTGGACATATTGGAGTTTGTTCAATGTAGATTTAGATACCCCAGTGAGCACAGCTTTACAGTAGTCAATTTGAGAGAACACAAATGTGTTGATCAGCTTTTCAGCCACAGTTAGTGATATTTCTGAGGTGAAAAAAAGATGTTTTGACAATATGCTACACATGTGGGTCGAATGTTAAACCAGAATCAAATATCACCCCAAGGTTTTTTAATTTAGACTGAAGCTCAAGTACAGAACCATCTACAGATAGGGTTACAGGACTGGCTTTACGAAGTTGATGGGAGGTGCCAATAAGAATTACTTCAGTGTTGTCACAGTTAAGATGAAGGAAATTTTGAGTCATCCAAGTTTTTATGTCAGTGATGCAATTGGATAGAATAGAGACAGCCACATCAGTGTCAGGTTTAGTATGGATGTATATTTGAGTATCATCAGCATAGGATTGATAGCTGAGGTCATGTGATCTTAAAAGCTGATCAAGTGGAATCAAGTGGGTGGTCTATATTAAAGTCCGCTAGAATAAGGATCCTTTTTAACATAAGGCATAAAAATGAGAGTAAATCCGCAAACCCACCTAAAAAGGCTTCGCTGGGTTTGGGTGGTCTATAAATTATGGCAATGATAGTAGATTGGGGGATAGAGATATTTATAACAAGGCACTCAAAAGAAGAGGGTGGAGGTATAGTAATAGGACTTAAATTGTAAAAAAAAAGTTTGTAAATAACGCCCCCACCTCTGCCTGAGAGACGCCAAAGATCAAACAAGCCATACCCAGGAGGGACTAGTTGGTTAAATAGCAGTCCATCGTTTTGTGCTTTACTTCCACTCTAAAGTGGGAAAAATAGTTTTGGGGACAAACAAAATATTGAGTTTGAAGTCAGTTATTTAACAGAGGTCTTTTACATTGTTTTGTACAGTATGGGCACTAGTTTTTATAGAGCTCATCCTTCAAAACTGCAGGAATCAGTTCCTGTCAGTGGACTTTGGTTTACAGTATATAAGTAATGAGTATTACAGGAGGCAGAGAGGCAGGGAGACAAAGCAGTACAGAGAGAAAGGTTTGAAAAAAAAATGATAATTTAGTGAAGAAAGCTGAAGTTGGAAAATATAGGAATAGAACGGAAAATTGTGTGCTACTATGAACTGTTAGTTTGTAACTGCTTAGTAGTTTTTGAAAAAGCTCAGGTAATGATGCTTTACTTTCAATTTTACAGATGCAGTTAGACATACTCTTACATCAGGTAAGTAGACTGTGTGGGAAACGCAGCCACTGATAAAGACTAATATTTGCCATCTTATTGAGAAGCACTGAGTGCTGTGAGTTTAAACTGTCCTTCTCTCTGTTCCAGAGTGGCAGTGGCTGAGCAGTGCAGCAGGTAGGACTGTTTCCTACCTCGATGATGATGATGATGAAGACAGACATTGCTGGTCAATTGTGGCACACGGGGGCGTTTTCAAAGCTGGGGGTTCTGGGATTATAGAGGGCATTGTTGTGCAAGAGCTGTGTTCTAATGAAATCTGTAGTTCAGATCCACAAATATGAGACAGGAGTATAGAATCTCAGCTCATGTCATTGGGTATTCTTTTACATCCATGTTTAGCCATGTTAAACAATGTCATTTATTGAGTCCAATCCTCTCATTTCAGTTGTGCATAAATGCATAGGTGCTTTTCAGTTAAACAGCTTAAGCTTTTACAAGATTAGCCAGGTTAAGACAAGTGAAATTCTTTTCATCATGATGAAGTTCTTGGAGTTCCACCTGACTTTGTTGTGGATTCCATGCTTTGATTTGTCTGGCCTAGCAATCTTGGAGGAGAAACTGCAATATTTACAAATTATCACTTACATAACTCAGAGACTCTGATGTGTTGAGCTCAGTTTAACCCTTAATGCACAGTTCTGCATCTTTAACTACTCTGGGCTTTTTCACAAAGCAGGTTTAACTAATTCAGGATTTCCTCAAGTTATCTGGGGAGAATTAACCCAACAACTGAGCTCAGGTTAACTCAGGTTTAAGTTATCCGATTCAAGCAACAAAAGTTTAAATAATCCGACTAACTGTGCCTTTACGCCCTACTTTAGTAAACAGGGTGGGTTGAGTATCAAATCCTTCACCTGTGCCAAAGAACCTGCCTCTTAACCCAACGATCATGGAAATTAGGAAGATATCTTGTAATAGTAAGGAGCTATAGTCTAATCACTGCCGAAGCCAGAGAAGACTTCTGGCAAACAATCACGGATCAGTTGGATGTCTAAGTTAAGGATGTTAATGGTGGATGGAGGGAAGGCTGGCTGGATGAACGGCTCTTGAGCGCTGGTGTTTAGCGTCCGATGTTTCCTGGTTTTGCTCCCCACAGCTGCTGTGACTCTGGACCCCGACACAGCGCACGGCGAGCTGACCCTGTCTGAAGACGGGATGAAAATGAGAGTGGGCGGGTGGCACAGTGTCCCCGACAGTCCACGCAGGTTTGATTACTGGGACTGTGCTGTGAGCAGGGAGGGCTTCACCTCGGGGAGGCACTACTGGGAGGTGGAGAGCAACAGCATGTGGACCATGGGAGTCAGCCGAGAATCTGCCGAGAGGAAAGGGATGTTCAGCTTTACTCCCCGGGAGGGTTACTGGGGTCTGGAGACGGATTCTTCTTCTTTCTGCGCTCTGACTGCCCCTCAAACCCCCCTCCCCCTCCGGCTGCTGCCCCAAACTCTGGGGGTCTGTGTAGACATGGAAGAGAGGCAGGTCTCATTTTACAAGGTGGAGTCCAGAGCTCATATCTACACCTTCACCACCATGGACCTGAGAGAGGGGGAGAAAATCTATCCGTTTTTCCGGACCCTGGATTGGAACAAAGACCTCGTGTTACTGTCTCCTCAGCTCTGCACATCGGACAGCTCACTGACTCCTGAGGCAGCGAGGGCCGATAATGACAAAACACTGAAAGAATAGGTATCATTTAAGTAAGCAAGTGCAATTTATTATAAAATGGAGTTTTACAATACTGTAAGTTGCGTTCTGGCGCACTGTGGCTGCCGTCGCATCATCCAGGTGGATGCTGCACATTGGTGGTGGTGGAGTGGATCCCCATTACCTGTAAAGCGCTTTGAGTGGTGTGTCCAGAAAAGCGCTATATAAGTGTACGCAATTATTAGTATTATTAAAAACCTGCACGTGGATATTGTAACAGAAAGAAATATAGTCTTGTTTTAACAAGGCCTCCCTCTAAACAGATGACTCCCGAGGCTCGAACACATGAAAATCGCAATGCACAGCAAAGATATTGTGCCAAGAGGCTTTATTCAGACAAAAGCATTTTTTCCTAACAGAGAAATAGGTTTATTCCATGCTGAAAAGAGAAGAGAGAAAACACAACGTTTCGGATGTGGAGTCACACTGGCACCCTTCCAGCCACAGGCGCAGTTTCTTAGCCACAGAGACACTGCACCGCCCCGTTACGTACAGTATTACTTAAATTGAAGCAAATAGGAGATTCACCCCGTATGACTAACATGTAACATTCTCAAACTGTGTATAGCAAAATCAAAGTCTTGTCAGAATGCAAGCTTTGCAGAATGCCATTGAAAACCATTTCTGATTTACTTGTCATATGTCGAACACAGTTTCAAAAACCCGCTTTTGTGAAATTGAGAAGCAGATGTCATAAGGTCATGCAGAAGTACGGAAAAGTAACACTGATCCTTTAGAAAAAGATTGATATTATGTTAATACCACAAAGGAAACAAACTGTGCTGTGACGGCAGTGGCTTTAGTGACTTTCCATGGAAAAAATACAGTTTGACTTCAAATCAATAGCAAAAGAACAATAACTATCTTCACAGAATTTTGTATCTGAAAAGTCAGAAATGTAAAGGTGAGCTACTGTACTGGCCTCAAAGGTAAACAAAACTTGTTACTATGTGTTTTTAAAGTGAAAATATGAATAAAAGTTAGGAGATGTGGGAAGAAAAAGAGAAATTTAAGTAGTTCTTTGTGTAGCAGATTGCCCTAATTAAGAAGTGTAATGACTATTGAGCTGTAACCAGAGGCTGTCAAACCGATAACACAGCAGCAGCACAGCACTGGCAGTATCGTTGCTCACTGTGTGGGTAGTCTCAGTGTACTCACTGGGCTTCTGTAGGAATGTGTGGCTGTTGCACTGGGGGCTGTTGGTAGGTTGAGGTGGTGATATCCACTGAGTGTGTGCACCTGGGTGTGTGTGTTTCTGTGTGGTGAATGTGGTGGGATCAGCAGTAGTATGTTACTTAGTGCCTATGTTTTATTTTTGTTCTTCATTTAAAACTTTAATAAAGACAGGATCTCCTCCTGGTCCTTTTGTCTTTATCAACTGTGTGTCATGCCCCTGCCGCCAGCAATATTCTCACGAGCACTCGACCTGCCACTCGAACTAGATCAGGGCGCCTGCCAATCAGACCAAGACGTTTTCAGTCAGGCTCCCAGGCGCGACACACGGTCGGTCTAATTAGGCTCTGTGCTTAACAGTTCAGCACGCGGTGGCTTTATTCCACCGATAGAGCCCCTAGCTCTTGTGCTGCGTTTGCTTCACTTTCTGCCAGTAATTCAAACTTCTGTCCGTTTCCCCTTATTTTTTCTGCAAGCAGCGACCCAGCTGAATCCTCTCTGGTTTCATTTTTTTCCTTTGATTTCTTTACATTATTATTTTTTTTTTCTGAATTGTTTTTACCGGGCTGGCCGGCCAACCATACCTGTTTTTTCGGTTTCGACTAGGAGCTTTGCTTTTCTAAGACAGTTCCTTACCACCTGCTCACATCACATCTCCCTCTGATCCCCTGATCTAGCAGCAGTTTGCTGTAGTATTAGAAGCACTAGCAGTAGCTCTAACAGTTTGCTGGCCATTACAAATAACCCTTTTAATGATGTGACAGGGTGGCACTGTCTGATATCTGCAGTCATGTCAGTCCAGAGGCATTTCTTAATCAAATCTGCATTCAGAGATGCTCTTATACCAGTTAGGAATGATATTACTCTCACAGCCTCAGACTTAAAGCAGTACTGTTTCAGTTTGTATAGAATAAGATCAGCATGAAGCCATAAAAGTAATATTAAAAGCGTTCACTGTTGTAGCAGGCGGGACTTTCGAGGTATTGTAATAACACCACTCTGCCACTAGAGGCCCTCAAAACGCCTCTATTACTTCTAAAAGCAGATGAGTTATTGCTGAAGGGGTTACTTTTCCCATTTGTATATTGTAAAAAAACTAAGTAAATCTACCAGGACCCATGAGCATGATTCAAGGATTCTGAGTAGCTACTTTAGTTGGCAAATTCACTAATAAATCGAAGACATTCCTTTAGCTTGGTGTTGTGTGCTCGAACCTTACTTTGCACATTGCCCAGGAAACAGATAGGCATTGGGCCACTTTGTGAGGCCTTTCAGGAGTTAGAATTTTTGCATCAAGTCCCATTGTAGTCTTCTCTGCTCACAGCTTTTCTCTGGCCTAATTCCAGAGCAGTAATACCTTTTCTCTAACATGACAATCAAACGGTACACATTATTCTAAATACAGCCTTTAGAGTGCATTATACAATTATACCATTACATCCCTCGATTTAAATTCTACACTTCTGACTAGCAGCATACTTAGTCTGCCTTTTTTTATCAGGTTGTTTCAGAAGAAGTCTTCTTGAAAACGACTGAATGGCCTCTGTCCTAGTAGTGGTTCACATGATTTCTGAGTAAATACCCCTTCAGTATCTTTGTAAGTTCCCTCCATCGAGTGGTCAAGGTGTATTTCAAATAGACATTCAACCATGAAGACCAAGGATCTTTCAAAACAAAAGCAAACAGTCTGTCCTCCTCAGCTTTAATCAAATGGTTTGATCATTGATTTCCTGTAGTTTTCAATGATCTCACTATGCTTTACTACTGTACATTGAATAGTCTATATGACAGCCTATACCTTCAGAAACCTGATGTATTATGGTTACAGGTTGTGAATCTTGTGTAGTGCTATTATTGGTCAGAATATTTCAGATTTCACATATTGTTGTACGTGTGAGATGTTTCACATGTGGATGTTTGCCTATTATGCCACCTTCCGGCATGTAGGGGCACCAACATCCTGTTGCTGTTTCCATTACATTAGTTTTTTACAGGACAGGGTTGTTGGCCTTGTGCCCAACCTCCAACATGGAGGTCCTTGCGCCCGACGTGGGACACGAACCCTCTACCCTGAGATTATGAGTCTCAGGCTCTACCAACGGAGCTAGTCGGGGCTCATTATTTCACATGTACAATGTTTAAAATGTAGTTGCACACAAGCATCTCACGGAAATGGCAAAGCTGTTACAGCCTTGTTTTAAAGTTAAAGCTTTATTTAAACAGAGGAAGAAAATACAACAGCTAGTTGAAGTTTAAAAAGTTTTCAAAGAAGAGCAAAAAAACAAAATGGCTGAACTCGGGTAGATCAGAAAGAAAGACTATGCAACTATTTTAATTGTTTATAGATGAGCGGTTTACAGGTTTACCAGGTCCAGGTAAGTAATTGAGCTCATCAAGGTGACGAATTTCCCAGGAGAACGGTAGAAATAGTACAATGCATGTACTATTGGGGGTAGCTGATAATGTTACAGTATGTTTCCCAGCATCACCTCCCCAGAAGAGAGATGCTTTCTTCTTCTTAACCAGAGCAAGGCAATAATAATTACCAACAATAAGAAAGAGATTCCAATGATGATGCATGAAAATATTCGACATCGGCTATTTCTTTCTGAAAGAAAAAATACATTTTTTTAAAAAAGTCAGTCATTCTCATGTTGAGCAACTCTTAAAAATATTTTGTTGATGTATGGTATATATTTGTTTACATGCTACTTACCTTGGCTACTTTTTGTCTCCTGAGTTTTATTATCTGAAGGCTGACCGTCACCTGCCAGTAGATCAAATCA